ATTCGTCGTCGACATAACACCGTAAGGCAATTGCTCTCAAATGGAATAATCTCAATAGATTATATAAAATCTAAAGAGAATATTGCGGATCCGTTAACAAAAGGTTTGACAAAAGAGCAAGTGTATAGTTTATCGAAGGGGATGGGATTAAAGCCTATTACATAAGAGTCGTTATAATAGTAACCCTACTTATATGACTGGAGATCCCAAGAACTAAGTTCAAAGGGACAACTAAGTTATGTGTGGCTCGCCAGAAATCACCAAGGAATTAAAATTTCTTACCCATTCCTATGGTGAGAGTAATATCTGCAACATGTATTGTCTGCAGGGATACAAGGATAAGCTTTGCTTTTAATGATTACTTATATCTTGATTTAGGCATAAAAATCAAGACGAGTATAAGGAGATACTCATAATAAGAATCACATATATGAGTGTCGAACCAGGGCCAGTTCTATGAGAATGAAGAGGCTAAATTCTCTAGAAGCACTCATGAAAACCAGGAACGTTCAAGGCCAAAATGAACACAACAGTGAAAACCACGATGTGTTAGAAGATATTTTGTGTGAAATCTATTGTCTTGACTTACACAAACGGCTGAACAATTCAAGGCATCACGTCCATTGGTTAGCTAGTAAGTCTGATAGGTTATCACTAGGGAAGGTTCAAGTCCGAAAGCTACCTATCCTGATGCAAGATATTTTCGATTTATACTCTTTCGACAAATTCTGCATATTGTTGCATTTTCGTTGTCGTGAAATTCCATTCATGTGGGGGATTATTGGAAATGGTTGGAAAAATTCTAGGTAAAATAGAATTTTTTTCTAACTTTGGTCTAATATTTAGGTGGGACCCTTGCGTCAATTTTCGCAAGTCAAAGTGGTAACGCGTTCTATGCCGTGTTGTGATTCATGTGGTATATTTGGTTGCTCAAAACCATTATCGAGCGAATGGGAAATTGAAGCCAAAGTGTGCTCCATGGAAATGGAGTTTGGTGGAAAATCCTTAAAGGTTGAAAAGCGGTTTGTCCCACATTGATTTGGTGAGAAGTTTTGAGTGGATTTATAAAGCATGGGATTGGAACTTGAGGTATGCCCCAAGGGGTACCCAATGAGTGAGGTTATGGGCAAAATGGGCTAGACCCATTGGACCCAAAAAATCACCACACGCGCTCGCCGCCGCCGCCGTCCAGTCGGTCGGGAGGGCTGGGCTGGGCTGGGCCTGGGCTTGGATGCGTGGTGTGAGGTTGGGTTGGGCTTGTTCGGCCCAATACTAATCTTTTTGAGCCAAAAACATTTGAGTTTATTTTATTTATTTTGAAATAAAATCGGTCCGTTTTTTATTTCAAAATTTTGGTTGGAAATTAAATTCAAATTTTGTAATGCACCTCTTCAAAATTTCTGTCCAAACTAAAGTTGTTCCACCCGAACAGATTTCAAATCTATTTAATTTTCAAATTCAAACAGATTCGATTATCTGTCCAATTCAAAACCCAACAGGTTCAGCACCTATTCAAACAGGTTTGCACCTGTTTAATTCAAAACCAACAGCCACCAATCCATCTATAAATAGGCAGCCCTCATTTGATACATTATTCACAATTTTCATCCATAATAATTCTGCTATTATTCTTATATATTGCTGCATTATTTTCCTGTGAGAAATAGTATATACACTTAGTGTGTTCGTCGTACGATTAAATTGTAGTGTTGCATTTATTCGTTGTTAAATCATTTTATCCTGGGAGATAGACGTCCACATTCTGAAAGTACCGTGGAGAAGACGAATCTGTCTTAAGGACACAGTGTCGAATACTGGACTTGATCAAATTATTTTTTAAGAATTAATCAAGTAAGTTATTTAATTTATTTTCGGTATTATTATTTATTTAAATCATATTTTAATTTTGTTTTTGTAACAAAATATAATCTATTTTTATTTATTTATTTTTATTTCTAGTTTGATTTTTTGTAATCAAACATTTTCTCTCCTTTCATATTTTCTTTATATTCTGTTTGTCGTTTAGTACCCAAACAAAATTAATTATTTTAAATACAATAAAAATTCTCGAACAATTGTTATTATTAATATTCATCTATGTCATTAGAATAAATGTAATACTGCTCCATCGAGAGAGATTCCTAACGCTTAACAGCTCTCAACTTTTCGTTTCTTCCATAAAAAATAAAACTCTTTGTTTTTCTTTCCTCAAAAAAACTTTGGTTTGTGTTTGTAGAATAGTTTTTTAGATAAAAAGTACGAAAACTTGTTTGAATTGCCTTTTTTCAGAAATAGTTTTGGAAAGTTGTTTTGGGAAGAGAGTTTTAAAAAAAGTGATTGATTTGATATGTATGAGAGAAAGTGATTTTGGAAAATAGGTAACCAAACAAAATTTTGAGATCTTTTTTTTAAAAAAATTGTTTGGTTTGATTATTCTTTAAAATTTATTTGTACAGAATTTTTCTCAAAATTTTTTCTAAGAAACAAACCAAACATGGCTTTTGTTTCTCTCTCATATCTCACCTTTTAACCTTCTCTTTCTATTTACCTTCAATCAAACCTCTGACCTCACTTAACCATCCTCTCCTCTTCTCGCCCCATCTCATTTGCCTCACCCTTACGTCTTAACTGGCCATACTCATTTTCATTTAAGCGAATCTGACTCTTAACAGTGACGGTGAAAGAGTATGGTCTGATCTTCCTTTACAAAGCAATACAATGACAATGATAATGTCGACGAAGGTTTCAACCAAATCTGAGATCTCAATTGGTGATTTCCTTTTGAGATCTTGCTTCAAATATGATATGTATTTTTTTTTTTTAATCTCTCAGG